TCTTTCATATGGAGCATCAGATTATGGTTATGGTGATTTAAGCACATTAGGATATGCTGGTGATTACGGTTATTCATCAATAATAGGTGGTGGTGGTTATGGTGGTGGTTATGGTGGTGATATTATTTATACTGGAAGTGGTTATGGTGGTGCTGGTTATAATGCATCATTATACGATTCATCAATTATCAATGCTGGTTTAGGTTCAGTTAACTATTTATCTACACCACAATGGACTGGTTATCAACGATATGCAACCGACGCTCGAGGTCTCTATCAAGATCCAAACCCACAAATTATACGTCGTCCAGCACCAGGCGGTGGCTTAACTTACGCACAAAGAATTCGACTTCGATTTCTTCAACCACCACCTGTTCCACCACCAGGCGTAAGCTTTCTTTTTTGTTTTCAGTCTATTATCTCACAATGTTATTGATATTTTAGCCACTGATCATTAAAGAAGTACGACCACCTCAACCACCGCCACCAGCTCCACTTCGTATTCGTCAACGAGCTCCACCTTTCCCTCCACCACCTCCATTGATCTTACGTGAACGACCACCAATTCCACCACCTCGTATTCTTCCTCAAACTGGTAAAGAGAAACAAAAAAAAAAGTTATTTCGATTCTCTTGAATCTATATTGATTATTTTGTCTAGTTATTCGGCGACTACCTGCTCTTCCTGTTCCACCTCGATCAGTAATTGTCGAACGTTTACCACCACTTCCACCTAAACCTCGTACGTCTTTATCTTGTATTGTTTTTTGGTACTATCTTTATGAATGAACTGATTATATTTAGGTGATATTATCCTTGAACGATGGATTCAATATGGACCACAACCTAGACGAAGAGCAATTGTTCAACGTGCACCACCAGTTCGGCCATATCCAATACCACGTAATATTGTCATTCAATATGAACGTGTTCCAGCGCATGTCGTTCGACAATTTCAACATCTTGGCGTTGTTCAAGAAAATCCAGCATTATATGTTCAACGTTATGGAGCATCACTTTTGGATGCTTATTCATTGGTACAAATGGCACGTGCTGCTGGTGTTATTGAAAATATTGTATGTTTATTTAATGTTATAATTTTTGTATAAAAAAAAAATAAATAAATTTTCTTATCTATTTAGTCACCACCTGGTTTCGTTGGTTCATTGGCTGGTGACTCCTCTCAATTATTATTATCGGGTGGTAATCTTGGTTATGACATTACCAATGTTTTTGGAGGTTATAACACTTTTGATACTGGCACAATTGGATTTAATGATATTGGATCCTATCAATCGTCATATTACACAGGTGGTACTGATTTTTCAACATTTGATGCTGGTTTAGGAACTGCTGATCTTCTCGGATCAGATTTTAGTGGAATTAGTTCGTATGATTTATCATCATACAATGTATTAAATAATGCAACAATTGGTAGTACAGCATTTGCTGCTACACTTTAAAGTAATATGATTATTTTGTGTATTTTCTTTTCATATGATGTACATTATTTAGGAAGCTACAATCGATTTCAGTAAAATGAAACGTAACAAAGTATGCTTCTTTGGAATAAAATTCAACTTTATAAAATATTTAATTCATTTTTTTTTTTCTTAAATAACAAAAAATTTGATTCTTCTTGCTATAGGTTTGTTTTTTTAATTTTAATTATTTCAAGTAGATATTTTTTGTTAATATGTTTAAAACAAATTAAATATAAATAAATTGCTCTATTTAAAAATTTATTTTAATTATAATTATTTTAATTCTAATTAGTATACCTTTTTTTTTTGTTTTATTCATTGATGCAAACAAAAAAAAACACAAAACAAAAAACTAAATGATAATAAGTAATACAATAGTCCCTTATGCATACATATATAAATAATAAAACATAAAGAATGCAGCGAATGAAGCGGAACGAATGCATATTATGTAAAAAACTAATTAAAAAAAAAAGGAGACGAAAAGAAAGAAATAGAGTTTTTTTTATCGTTGTTTGATGCCAAAACACCAAAAAATATTACTGATTGTTTCGAATCCAGAGCTTACACTAACAAAACGGGCATTTCATAATGTTGACTTTATTGCTTGAAAAACATTTTATTAGAACTCAAACTTGTTTTCATACTCTTGGGCATCCTGTACTTGTACGCTATTGAGCAACTTACAATACTTAGATAGTGTTCAAAATTCTATATCTTTAGTTTGTATCATCTGATATATGTAGTAAAAATATGAGATCAAACTGACTATATACAAAGAAAAATTTGACTTGTTACTTTCGACCCACTTCTTATTTAGATCTCAAGATATTTATTGAAAGGAAAATTTAATTAGTTTTTTTTTTTCGTTGCATTGTGAATAAAAGACGATTCTCAATAAGTTTTAATCGAGACACACACACATAAATTATGATATATTCAATATCTGAATGTATGCGCTTATAACTAAAGTTTAATTATTCAACTTATGAATTAAACATATTATTATTGATTATCAATGATAATGTGGTGATTAATCACACGTAGATGATCAAAAAAAACACCTATCTCCGACATTTTTCTCTCTCTCGCATGTATCATTTTCGAAATAAAATGAGAAGATTTAATACTTAATCAAGGTACAATTGATAAATAATTTAGAAATAAAATCATAAATAATGATTAAATATGTATTACATTTTCTAATATACTCGATTTGTCTAATAATAAGTTCATCTTTACTTAACAGATAACAAAAAAAAAAACAAAAAAAAGAAACTTGAAGAATAATTAATAAATAAATAACAAAATTTATTAATTATTTAAAGATATATATTAAATTCAAGAAAAAATTAAAAACTGAAAAGATTTATTTTATAGATAAAATGCTAAAATCGAATATGAAAAAATATTTATATGAGTTATTATTATAAATAATATGATTTACTTTTTTATTAAATTTAAATTTTTAACTAAATAACATCAAAATTAATGTATCTATATATTTTATTTTTTTTTATCATCAATTTATTTAAAATATTAATGCATTATTTTCACATAGTAAACAAGATTCTTATTTTAAGAGAAGAATATTTAAATAATTTAATACAATAAACAGATCATTTCATATTACAGAAATATTATTTTATTCATCATCTATTTTACTAAATCTTCTACAAATTCAATAAAGAAAATGAAAATAGATAAAAAGATTCTTTTGAGAAATATAATGATTACATACATATCAATTGCATTATTAATAAATACGAATAACAAAAACAATGTTAGCAATAATTTTAGTGTTCGATCCATTTCAAAATTCTTTGCAGAATTGTACTTTCTCGGTAACTTGAAGGTATCTTTTAGTTTAATTAACTTTATTCAGAAATATATCAAAACCTACGAACTCAAATTTTGAAATTCTTTTACTAATGAACTTTTCATCGCTTTCATTTAAGTTGTGTAATAATTCAACTGAGCTATTTTTCTTTTTCTTTTTTGTTATATTAATCATTATATTTTATGATATGCCATTTGATCGCCTAATCATCAGTTGTGCTGTCAGCATGATGAATGTTCCCAGTTTTTTTTCTTCTTAGGATATTGCTGATATTGATCGACATCTGTTTTCTTTCAATGAG